CGATTCAGTCCCTCAACTTTCATTTTTGGACTAAAATTACCCTCGAACTTCAAAAAGTACTAAAAATATCCTTAAACTTTAATTTTTAGAACCAATTTTTGTCCTTCCGTCAATTAAGTGCTAACATGGCAAAATTTCCCGTTAACAAATTCAATTTTTATTAATATTAAATATTACCTGGAAATAAAATGAATAATGTGGCATTTTTAATTATAAAAATATGATGACTTGGCATCAAAAATATAATTTAATAAATAAAAATTTCTTTTTTTTTTCTTTTTTTTCTTTCCTTTCCTTTTTTTTTCCTCCTTCTCTTTCCTTTTCTCCTTCCCTTCCCCTACTGGGTTCGAGGAACCCAACACCAACGCCTGGGTTCGTTCGAACCCAGCACGCCTAGGTTCGATGGAACCCAGGCGCTGGGTTCGATGGAACCCAAGCGCTGGGTTCCAAACCCAGCGCCTGGGTTTGAGTCGAACCTGCCTGAGTTTTTTTGTTCTGTTTCTTTGTTGGCTTGCAGTCATGCTTGAATGAGATTTAAAGTTTTGTGCGGCTTCTGATTGCTTGAATTTTCAGATCTAGTTACTGTTGATGTTGATTGAAGGAATGTTGTGTTTTTTTCATTTTTCTTTGCAGATCTGATATACATTTGTAGAGGAATTGATTTTTTGAATCAGATCTATTGTGCGAGGAACCAGATTTGAGTTCTATTAGGGAGGAGGTTTGGGGAAGAAGTAGATGGTGATTGGAGTGGTAATAGATGATCGGAGCAATGAGGGATGACCGAAGTAATGAGGGATGACCGGAGTAATGAGAGATGACTGGAGTAATGAGAAATGACTGGAGTAATGAGGGATGATCGTGTTGATTGGGTTGCAAGATGAGGAGACATCTGAGGATAGAGAGAGACGAGAGGTGATGGAAGACGAAGATGGAGGTATTTAAGGAATTTTAAATTTTTTAATATATAAATTAATTAAAATGATGTGGACTAGTTATTTTCCACGTAATTAAAGATTTTAAACAAGAATTGATTTTGTGGCAACTTAATGTGCCATATGGCACTTCTGTCGACGGAAGGATGAAATTGGTTCCAAAAATTGAAGTTCAAGGATTTTTTTAGTATTTTTTGAAGTTTGAGGGTAGTTTTAGTTCAAAAATGAAAGTTGAGGGACTAAATCGGGGATTTAACCACAAAAAAATGCCTAAAGAATTTCTCTTATAAACGAATGAGTTTGTTTTGTTTTGGTTTTTATTTTTTTATGATATTTTATTATTTTAATAAAATGATATA